TAATTAAAAAAAATTAACGTATTACTAGTTTTTATTTTTAATTCTGGTTATTAGTAATTAGTAATTTTACAAAGTAAATTTTATATGCCTAAAATTTTATTAATAATTTGCATGGTTTTCCTATCTGTATTTTATGCGTATTCAGATTATTTTAAATTTTTTAAAAAATTTTCGGTAAAAAGATTTACTTTGTGATTGAATGTACGGTGTTTTTCTAATGTATACAGCAATGTACATATGTAATTCAGCGTAATTTAATTCGCAAACATATTTTGCAATTGTTTCTTCGCGATTTTGCCGGTAATTGTGTGTGGAAGTTCATCTATGAATTTGACACCAGCCCGAAGTCTGCAGTGATCTGGCAGAGTTTTTTCCACTAAACTGATTAGCTCTTTTTCTGTTACCTGTAAATGAAACATTTGATAAATAAACGCAACATCTGCTGCGTAAATCTCAAAATTAGTTATTGCGGATTTTATCTTTAAATTAAACAATTAAAAATGAGTAATACGTACCGTTTCACCTGGCACTACAGATACGATAGCCATTGGACGCTGTTCATCGATTTCATGAGGCACTCCTATTACCGCTGCTTGGAATACCTTGGGATGAGTCTGTAAAACAGTTTCGATTTCCGCGGGTGAGACATTGATTGATCTGTAAAGAATGAAATCAGATAATCTACCAACGATGAAGATTTCTCCGTCATCGTCATAATATCCCAAATCTCCACTGCGTAACCATCCTGAAAAAATTGCGTTTTATTTTTCCTCTATTGCAGTTCTTACAATTAGTCTAAATGTTAATAATACTAATTGAAAGTTGACCAAGTATCGAAATTATACATACCGTCGGAATCGAAAGCTTTTTTGGTTGCTTCAGGATTCTTATAGTAGCCGTTCATTACAAAAGGTACTTTAATACGTATTTCTCCAACTTTATTAACCCCTAAAACTTCTTCGGTTTCTGTATCCGTTATTTTTATTTGAACATTAGGTGCAGGAAAACCAACAGATCCCGGTTTACTGTGCTTATTTTGGCCACTAAGATCACCTCCTGAATCGGTAGATCCTGGCACGAAGCATTAATGCATACATAATGTTAACAAAATAATGATAAGATTGATATGATTTCGCATTTTTGTTAACAAATCAAAGAAAAACAACTAAAATTTTTTTGAGAGATTTTAATTTTTTTAATTATTCAAATAAAAATATTTTTTAATTAAAATTTATTATATTTATTTATTATATTTGTCAATTTTTAATATTAATTTTTAATATTTAATTAATTAATGTAATCATAATTAATTAGAAAAGATATGATAGATATTTTTAGAAAATCACAGGTGAATGTAAACTACATTGTGATTAAGTTTAGAAATAAACTGATTTGAGAAAAAAATATTTATAATTAATTTTTTAAAATTGAATTTGATGACTTACCATAAGCATTATTAATGAGAACATGTGGTAATTTTTTTCTCAATGTTTCTTGATGTTGGTTTTGGAAAATAGAACCGCTTGTAATAATAACCTTCAATGACGACAATCGAAATTTTTCTAATATATCCGTCTTAATCATTTGGACTAGAATGAATGGATCAATGCCAAACCACGTTACCTAAAAGTTAAACATAGTCAAACATAGTATTAATTATTAAAATCATTCTTCAACTCTATTTTGATCTCCGAAATTAGGTATTAAATTTTATTCAAAAATTTGTTTAGAAGTATTTTTTTTATTTACTCGATATTTCTCGATAAATTTGCAGTACATATCACACTCATTATCGTCTGTCACACCGTCTGGTGCAACAATTCCATCACAGTCTGGTGCAACAATTCTGGTTGAACATGCCAAAATGGTCTTAAATGCAAGCGTAACACCGTAATGCCAACGTAATGTCGGTGTAAACATGCAAACGTGACCTTTCATTTGGGCAACTTTTACAGGAAGCATGCGATTGTGTATAGAAGTGTGCGAAATTTCAGTAGCCTTTGGCATGCCTGTAGTACCTGAAGAAAGAACAATAAGGCCAACTTCGTC